GCTTTTAGGCAGTGCCTAAATATATATATTATTAACAGCGATGGTTAAATCAGCTAAAGTGAAAAAGCAGGCGGGCTACGTACTTACCAAGAGCACTCGCAGTGCCTAAACACAACAGAACCAAAATTGAGCCAAGTAGAGACGACATCCTGTTAGTAAAACCAAAAAGATACGAGAGAAAATTAAATCAAAACTGAAAAATGAAATTGTCCAAGGTCAGTGTGTTTTCATCTGTGTAAGTGCCACTTGGGGGCTCAATCTGTGAATTAGCTGTATCCYGACTTATATCAAACCAGTGGTTGTTTCCGGGTTTGATCTGTAAGGTCTATTAGAAATGGTGAGTTCAATAACAAGATCGTGGCTTTTAGGGTACCTTCAACAATTCTCGAAAATATTTTAAATTGTATTAATAATATCAAAATGCTATCACTTTCCGTTTTAAAATTTCAGTTAAATAAAAACGAATCATGAGTTTTAGAGTGGCGAGTTCACTACCTCGATCTTGGCTTCGTGGATACCTTCAATCATTATTGAAAAATATTTTTATTGYATTAGTAATAACAAAATCCTATCACTTTTCGTGTTAAAATGTCAGTCAAATAAAAGGTAACTCTCAAATTAAAAGATTTAAGCAATTCTTAGGCTGGTACAAGTCAGCCGAGCTTGGCTAATTCACAGATTAAACTGGAATATAGCTTGTTAGGTTTTTGTGAAGAAAGGACCGGAGAACCCGAAGAAAAACCTTTTAATCAAGAAAGAGACAAAAAAACTATACATGGGTTGCTGGAATGAAACTCTACACCACAGAGGTGAGAGCACTAGTCGCCATCCATAGACTCCCTTTAATATTATTCTGTAGTATAGAAAGATTGGGTATACACACAAGTGATTAAACACATAGACAAGAGATAGTAYAAATAGAAAATGAACAAGTTACCAATACTTAGAAACATCTATTACCTTAACTGCTGGTGCTCCTTAAGAGTGTTCAGCTGATGACATCTATGAAGCAAGAGCATGAAGCAGCGCACTTTATATGGTC